TTTCTTGTGTTGTTACGACGGTGGTTTCCGTCTCTTTCCCGACGCTTTTGTGAGGGGTTTTAGCTTTTTTTATTAATATTTTCTAGAGTACACAAGAGAGGCTGGCATAAAGTTTATAAGATGGCTTGCATCAAGGTTTTAGTAACGCCTAGCATCATCATAATTTTCAAATCATAAATCAGAAGAAATGATACCGCTAAAAACCTAGAGAGTGTCAATTTCCTCCTTGATATCAATAGCACCGTTCGTTGGAAGGTTCAGCAGTAGTCAATAACCTTAAATAAGACTAAAGTTTGAGTCAATATCATCGGATTTAATTGTCGTTAACTGAGTGCGTTAAAACAGGTTCATTATTATTACAAACGGCCCGGTCTCTACTCGGCATGATCCCGAGGATTGTGCGCCTACAAAAGTGGAATGATTCGTAAATCCCGGTTAATGTACCGATTTACTCGTTAAGGGTCCATGTTACGGTACGGTTAAGGTATTTACACATGGGCACAGTACCGTGACATAGGCGGCGCACATAGCTCGTAGAGACGATGGCCGTTGGGGCAGAAAAGTTCTTGAGTGGCGACCACGGGCTGGAAGACGTAGGGCAGGCCTCCTACTAGTTGGACCGACGATCTGGTAAAGCTCGCGGGAAGAGCCTGGATACGGGGAGCGCAAGACCATGCATTGTGGAAAACCTTGGAGGAGGCCTTTGTCCAGCAGTGGACGTCATTTGATTGAAACGAACGAACCGAAGTACCGTGGCCCTAAGGATAATAAAGCATGTATCAATATTTTTTGTCTCAAAAATTAAGCGGTGAAAAAAAATTAATATAGGTATGAAAAATCATTATTTTGTTTCTTTATTATTTTTTTTGTTTAAATAAGATGTTTTTATCTGGACCCTTGCGTCATTGTAATCGATAATAATAAATCCACGTGAACGAAGCCGCGGGAAAAATCTAGTTTACTTTGTGATTTTACAGTTTTTTATACAGATCAAAAGTTTATAAACGATGGGGCTTTCATCAGTTTCAAACTAAAAGTTTTAACAAGTCTGTTATAAAATAATATTACAATAATTATTAATTATTATTTAGATTAGTTTTGTCCCTTGCTATGTATGTAGGACAAAATATGACACGGGTTGACACTAGGTTAATAAATGCAACATAGTAATTTATCAATAATTAGCATTGCATTTGACCCCAATCCATATCAGGTTGCCATGCTAAAACATACTCAGGGGAATCCCCTTCTTGTAAAGTATGAGCAAGAACAGCTATTTAACCTGTGGTTCTCAAACTAAATTCTTATGGCAAAACAACTGAACCGGCGAAATTCGTATTGCGTTATAATTTTTTCGTAAATATTTTTTTCACTTTTCTTATCCTTGTTCAGAAAATAATTATAAAAAAAAAAATTTGGTGCAGTCGTTCGGAAGCATAATAACTTCCGAGTTTTTTGCGATGCAAACATTACATTTCGGCGAATATTTTTTTTAAATAGTGAAATAATAATGGTAAGTACCTACTTTAACTTTCAGAGACTGCATATTCAACAAACCTAGTTTCAATGCCCGTTCACAGAAGCATGGTAACACGGTGTGAACCGACTTCTGTGTGTAAGCTGCCTAACTCCAACCTTTGAGCGGCTCATCTCAACGTGTCTCAACTCTGCCGAAATTATCAGAGTGAGTGCTGGCCCTAATTTTTCTCATCTATATTTATTTATTTACATTAAAATGCCAAAATTTTAACATTAGGCGAACTTAATGCCATAAGTCATTCTCATCCAGTTTACCTTCGGGTTATGCAGAAAAATTAGTTTGGAGTTAATTTTTTATTTTTTTTTAATTTTCGTACAATATAAATTTTATAATAATATCCGATTTGTATGAAAATTAAAATAATTGAAATGAATATCAATTTTCTGACTTCACCATATCATTATATGCCCATGTTAACATGGGCTAGTGTCGGCTCTTATACCCATTTACCTAACACCCTGTATAGTTTCCAACATGGCAAAAATCGGAACCAGCGATCCGGTATTAACGGTGGCTCTCCCCTGTCAATGTCACGGGTGGGACATTTCAGTGTACTCGTATTGTGTCTATACAAATTATTGAGAACCTCTGACAATTGACGTTAAACAAAGTTACTTTGATTCGTAGTGGTTATGTCGCAGGCAAACGCCGAATAACCTCGAAGTATTTTTTAGGGTTTTGCATTGAAAGGGGTTCATTTTCAGTTAAGTGTGATCGACAAAGAATATTACCTATGCTAACGACGCAGATGCCGGTTCAATAAACTGCGTCGCTTTTCGACGGCACGTACCTAGTTTACTAGAAGTGCTGTAATATTTAAAAAAATATAAACTATATTGTTTATATGTCGTTCGTTCGTTTCACCCAAATGACGTCCACCGCCAAAGCCTCCCCAAGCATTTCCACAACGTCCGGTCCAGCGCTACTCGCATCCAAGTACTTCCCGCGACCTTCACCAGATCCTCGGTCCATCTAGTGGGGAGTCTGTCCATAAGTACGCACCTAATATTGTTTTAAAGAAATTAATACTAACAGCTTTCCACGAGGGGTTAACGGAATAATAAGTAATTTGTAAAATACTGCAACTGAAAAATTCAATCCCTGATTGTATAATTTGAGATTTTTCCGACCGAATTCTCAAATTACCTCAAAGTTTTTAGTTGAGTAATAGAAGATGGGCATGCTCAAGCTAAAAATCTCAATTCACTTTATTTCACTTTGAACGAATGCCATTTAGGCTAGAAATGTCATTTTAGTGACAAAGAAATACAACATTTCGTGCATCTTTAACATCGAAATCCAAGCAAAAAAATTATCAAAAGAGCTATTAGATCACTGAAATTACAAAGTAATTACTAACATTGAAGAAATAATAAACAATTTCATGGGTAAAGAACTAAATACCACAAATATTACAAAAGGATATTCATACAATAGGAAATATACAATTTAGAAACTTTTGAAAATGAAAATGAAATGAAAGTGAAATATTTTATTCAGCGACACAAAACAGCATCAAAAATATGAAACAAAAGTAAGACTAAATAGAGTAGGTAATGGTAATGTGCGTGTCACCGAAACGGTATCCACTCAGCATCATGCCGAGGTGTCGTAAGGGACACCACGACGCTGGTCTTCCGTGGATACTCGGAGGGCAAGAGGCACTGCTATAACACAGCAATACTACTTCGGTAACACAGTTATCACTTAAAAAAGAAACACACCGATTTCCTTACTGGTAGGCGAAGAATACAACACTGTTATTTAATGAAATTTAGCTCTTCCATTGCTCTCCCCTTCAACTTATATCTCTGGGGCGGTCCCTTCCTAAATTACCTTATTCATTTAACGGTAACACCCGGCAACAGATGTTAAATTATTTGATTTTTTCACAGCCTACCCTATACTCTCGTAACAAAGGTACCAACTCTGGCTTTTTACGGAATTGTATATACCTAGTATGATTCCCTTGAGGGGGTAAAGTATTTAACAAATCGTTTTGTCGTTTCATCATCATTCAATTGAATTTCATCATCATCGTTTTTCAGCCACAGGACGTCCACTGTTTAACATAGGCTTCCCCCAATGATTTCCCAATTAACCAGTTGGTAGCGGCCTGTATCCAGCGCCTTCCTTCTACTTTTATGAGGTCGTCTCTCCACCTCGTGGAGGGACGTCCTACGCTACGCTTTTCGATATAATTTTATTGTTATTAGTACATACATAAAAACTTATACTATAGGTACCTAATAACGATCTAAATAATAGCTAAAATAATATTTTGTATGCCTATGTTTCTGAAAGTGTTGTGAATGCTTATACTAAAACGTTTATTTTTATTTGTTTAGAGAACAATAGTGTTTAGACAAACCTCAAGAGGATTTACGACACTATTTAAATCAGATGTAAAAAAAAATGTTTTTATACAGGCTGCTTCTTTTGCACGCTGTATCTCAGTGAACTACTACAGAAATAAAACAATTAAGAAAACAAACTCATTTTATTATTTGCTGGGGACAGTATCAATTGTGACAAAGCGCCTTATAATAAGCCCTATCTTAACAGCGCTGACCTTTAACACTATCACCTATCTCTCTACAATAGGTACTGTCTTTGTGATAAAAATACACTGGCAAGTGTTATAGTTCAATTAACAACAGGAAGAGAAAATATACTTACAGTAATAGATAAAAATCCAATGGCGAGTCGGACTCACTTACAACAACAAAAGCGTTGTTCTTGTTGTATAGGAGTCCCCCTTAAATATATATTTTACTAGCGGCCGCCCGCGACTTCGTACGCGTGGATCCCGTTTTACCCCCTTAGGGGTGGAGTTTCGTAAAATCCTTTTTAGTGGATGCCTACGTCATAACATATACCTGCATGCCAAATTTCAGCCCAATCCGTCCAGTGGTTTGGGCTGTGCGTTGATAGATCACTATGTCAGTCAGTCAGTCTTTTTAGACACCTTTGAGTTATTATTTTAAGATTTTAGTTTGATTGTGGAAATAATTGGGGGAGGCCTATGTTCAGCAGTGGACGTCCTATGGCTGAAATGATGATGATGATGATTTATTTTCAAAGGCAATTTTTAATTGTTACCTATAGTAGGAGCTGATTTTTATGACGAGTTAGCGTCCAAATGTATTATAAAATATTTCTGGCACTTTAGAATTTACTGCTATTAATTTACAAAGTCTCCCCAACACGCCTTGAAAGTACGGGGAGTGTATTTATTTATTTATAGAAACCAACAGCGATACTTTGAAAATGTTAGGCTAAATCCTCCATTTTTCCTCAGGTATTAAGGGCCGTGCTCATGCAGTTAAAGGCTTGAATGACCTGACGATGATGATGATGATGGTGATGATCACTTCATAAAGAAGCCGTCGATAATGAAACTTCATGCGAAATGACACTTCAATTAATTATTAGGTGTGTGGAATCTTTACATCGATAATGTTGGCGTTGTATTATTGAAATTATAAAAGTGTTTTGCGCAGCAGAAATACTCTTATTTGCGTGCGTACTTGATTGGACTCATCATGTCTTCGTTACTGCTAATTTTGTTTGGTAAGTTTTTTTCATTATTTTATTTAATGTCGTCATCGTCTTATAATTCTGAATCTTTATAATCATTGCGTCATCCTTGTCTGTTTTTTTTTTCTTTTTACTGTTAATTTAATTACACACTTTTACGAGGATTTTCAGAACAATAGGTACGTGAATTAGGATTGTTTCATGTTAATATTAATTTCGTTAAACCTTTGATCATATTTTTAGCGTGCGCTTCCCATGTCCCACTTACCAAATCTTGGTAAAAAATAACACTTTTCCACAGGTATATTATTTATTATTTACACGCTTATTATTAAAATTAACTTGCAATGTTATCAAATAGGTACAATCTTGCAAACAGAATTTTGCATAGAGCTGTATATTCATGGCGATGGTCTGATGATGGAGCCGGAAGGGCTATAGTAGGTACTAATTCTTTGACGAAACGATGATCAAACCCTGCCTAGTTTATGCTAGTTCGTTTTTTGTGACAAGTCATTTGATAATATCCAGGGTTTGATAAATAAAAACCTTGTGTTTAAAAAGTTTTTCAATATAATTTTGTTTATTATCAGCAGCGGGACTGTCGTCCGTGACATCACGCCACGTGAATTTCTACCGGAGAGACTACACTTACGTGGATGAATTCGACGCATTCTACAAGTTCCATTGGGACATCAACGGGAGTGACTGGGGGTCCACTTTCGTGGCATGTGACAATGAGGGCGCCGAGTTGTTCTACCCAAGGGTAAGTACAAGTATCATCATCATCATTACTGCCACAGGACGTCCACTGCTGAACATAGTCCACATCGCACGGTTGGTAGCGGCCTGCATCCAGCGCCTTCCTGCTACCTTTATCAGGTCATCGGTCCACCTTGTGGGTGGACGTCCCACCCTGCGTTTTCCGGTAAGCGGCCTCCATTCCAGAACCTTGCTGCCCCATCGGCCGTCAGTTCTGCGTACTATGTGGTACAAGTATAAGGTACGAGTATATGAATGAGTTCGGATACCGTAAAACCAAACGAGCCAGTAGGGTAATTCAAGTGCAATCTGTCATTTCAATCTATTCTATTTGTCATTTAGCTTGTTTAATCTGTGCTCAATAAAGTGCACAATATTTAAGCAGGATATGGTTGCACGCGGATTTTTAGAGAGTTAAATCTTTTGGCCAATAGAAAACGTCATAATAGTTATTATATGAACTGGGATTGGTCAATGACTTTTGAAATTAAAATCCGATGGCCTGAAAAAATCGGTTTTCCAACAAACGTCAGTTACGCGCAAGGAGGTTTAGCTATTTATCCATCGAAGTTAATAAGGGAGAAGACATAAGACTAATTTTATTATTTGCCTGCCGCGACCCGGTTTTTACAAACAATGACGATGACGACCGATGAACCAGTAACGAGGAGCACACTTAGCAATGCTTCCAGGTTGCGGGGGGGACGCCCTTTTCGAACGAATTTTGATATGAACAGAGTCGTTCAGATGAGTGCCAGGAAGAGGTGCAGCAACCGCAGTTAAGGAACGGCTGTGACGAACAAGGATAGGCGCATCCAGCTCGTAAGCCTTGATAGGGTTACACTGGTTGAGGCACTCCTTGTCAAGACTTGGAAGCCTGCGGGTAACGAGCCATTGGACGTGGAGAGGGTCATTAATTATACACATATTTTCTACTTTGCCGAACATTTTCACGAGAACGGTTTGTTCAAAACATATGAATTTGGTCTTATTTAATGCAGGATTAAATGCCCTTCAACCGTCAGTAAGACCACTTTTCGATAGCGTAAGTCCTTTACGCGGTATAACCGGAAAACCGAAAAAGCGCCCCTTTCGGGGGCCCCCACCACTTAAGCACAACTCCGTCGAAGTCGAAAACCTAGGAGAGTCTTTATGGGCAGCTAATGAAGCCATTAAAGCACTAAAATCTTTAGTAGGAATTATTTCCGATTTAATTCATTTTTGTGTTTAATTCTACTGGCCAATACCTACTTTTTATGATTTAACGTGATGAAATCGAGTTTTAGATTTTCAAGTGAAAGTAAAGCATAGCCTAAGCGCTTCGCGTTGAAGGCATGCAAGATATTTTACGCTCCTATCTAAATTAATCTTTTTTTATTTCAGTCAGGCGTTGGAGCGCGGGGCCCCCAAATTCGCGGGGCCCGTAGCATTTGCTACTCTTGCTACGTGGCTAATCCGGCACTGACTGATCTTTGTGGAAATTCTTGGGGGAGGCCTTTGGCCAGCAGTGGACGTCTTTCGGCTGAAACGGACGAAAACCAAAATAAAAAAAATAAGTCTTATTTTTAAGGCGGTTTATTCAAAAGTTAAACCCGCGATTAAAATGACATTTCCATCCTGAACATTAATTTAAACAAATAATGATCAACGACAGTTTAATTTTTGTAATAGGGGGAAGAGACAATTAAATAGCACGTAGGCTCTGTTAAAGTCAGGATCTTCTAACTTTTACTTAAGTATTTAACTATTCTTCATTTTATGAGATGGACAGCATGGAGGCTTTTGTTCTGCAGTGGACGTCCTGTGGCTGAAATGATGATGACGAGTAGGTTTTATATCTTTCTCTATATTAGGTATGTAGGCCAGTAGAATTAAACACAAAAATGAATTAAATCGGAAATAATTCCCACTAAAGATTTTAGTGCTTTAATGACTTCATTAGTTGCCCATAAAGACTCTCCTAGGTTTTCGACTTCGACGGATTTGTGCTTAAGTGGTGGGGGCCCCCGAAAGGGGCGCTTTTTCGGTTTTCCGGTTATACCGCGTAAAGGACTTACCCTATCGAAAAGTGGTCTTCCTGACGGATGAAGGGCATTTAATCCTGCATTAATTTGCATTCTGCATTCCCCTTTCGGGGGCCCCCACCACTTAAGCACAACTCCGTCGAAGTCGAAAACCTAGTAGAGTCTTAATGGGCAACCAATGAAGCCATTAAAGCAATAAAATCTTTTGTAGGAATTATTTCCGATTTAAAATCTAATTCTACTGGCCTAATGCTTATTTTAATAACATGTATTATTTTTAGGCTCGTGACGAATGGACCGTTGTCAAGAAATTGATAGCAGCTACGCCACTCGCGTCCAACGTGTCTGAGATCTTCGTTGGCATTCATGACAAATTCGGCGTTGGCGAATTCCTTACTATCAATGGTAAGTTTGCAATTTTCAGGGTAAGTTCATAGGGCTTATTCCCACAGAGGTGTCCGTTTCTTGCAGGAACAGTTTTTTGCAGGATTCCGTTTAGTATTTTACTTGTATAACTTGTAATACTCGTACTAGTAATAGTAGGTACGTACTTGTGAGTTTTATTGGTTTGTAATTTGTAACTAAAAGTGTGGTGCCTCCTAACTCAGGTATTATACTTTAAAGGAAACTTTAAACATACTGAATATTTTTTTTTCATTTTCTATATTAATATCGTTCACGCGAACATCCCACTTGTAGTGTCCCGCAAAAACCGATCCGTTCGAATTTGTAATTTGAATTTCAAACATATATTTGTGTTCACACGATAGTCCAGTTTAGTGAGCTCCTGAATTACTGAACCCCTCAAAACTGGATGCTGTAGGAACGAGTTATAACGCGAGAAAAGCCAGTTATCATCATTATCATCATCTTAGCCATAGGACGTCTACTGCTGAACATAGGCCCCCCCAATGCTTTCCATGTTGCCCGACAAGCCAGTCATATCCATTCCTATTTCAGGGTTCCCGACGTTAGCTCCGATACTGAACATAGAATCATCCGACGAAGGAAAGTGCGTGACGTTAGACATAGACAGCGGAGCATATTTGGCCAATGACTGCATCGCAGAGCCTGGCACAACAAGGCCGTTCGTTTGCAAGAAAGTTGAAGACGTCTCCTGCCCAACTATTGATAAAGGTACCTACCACCAAAACAAGGTATATTAACCGGCAGACAGTGGTGACTGAGTTTGTTGCGGCTCTTCTTCTCAGCACTTGCCAAATGTTGGTCTCGAAGCGCTGGTAGGGTAAAAAGATTATGAGACATGTAGAGGCTCCTTAAGAGCAAAATATTTTACGATTTGTAAGTACATAATAATCTAAACAAATATAGGAATTTTGGCTTTGACTTTGACAATTATTTTTATTTGGAGCCAGATACAATAAGAGCCATGTCATGAAATATAAATTAATCGCTCGCTAATGATCTTCACGAAGTGCTAAAAGATCGTCTACATTTGTATCACTATTAGTAGAAATATTCTTGAGATTTCCATAATGTTTGCAAACTATACCCTTTACTCTCTATATTTGGTCTCTCAAGAGACATTCCTAAAGATAATAATTTAAAAAAATATACTATACATTATTTACAAGCTTCGGGGGGATATTAAAATTACTTGAAGCAGATAGTCCCGTTGATCACAATCATCAATACAAAGAAACAAGATTCAAATTCAAATTACTATTTTTAACTATTAATTATTAGATTTAATTTTCTAGTATTTATTAATAATGATTTAATTTTCTAGTAGACTGTTAAAAATATTTTGGCAGACGCAGATGATAGCATCTTAATCACTGCAATAGATGCCTGCCTATGCAATGGCAGATGTATTAAATTATATGTAACAGAAATATTATATTTTCAGGATACCAATACTTCAAGGAAACAAGAAAATGCTACAAAATGAATAACAAAGCAATGAATTGGTCCAAAGCCATGGAAACTTGTTTCATGGAAGGTGGCATGCTAGTTGTGATAGAAAGTGAGCTAGAAGCGAAGATCATCAGAGAAAAAATCACATATGTTAATAGAGATCAGTCTTACTACAGCGGTTTTAAGCAGATACTTGGCAACCAAGAATATTATACTGTCAAAGGTAAGACAGAGCCAATACAATCCAGTTGAGTTAACTGCGTACCTGGCAGCCGTGACGTCACATGGACGCTCTGCTCCGTGGTGGTGCGAGTAAGTGGGAGGGAGTTGCAGTTATAACTCTAGAGACTTTATAAAAATATAAAACTATAGATTTATGGTTAATGGAAGGCACTTAACTCGGGATCCTCAATTGGTTATCTACAACTATACTCGACGCAAAAACTCATGGCAGGCGGGGCCATAAGTAATTTTTGAAACAAGGGATGAACACTCGGGACTATAACCACCTCTCGTTCCCACCACTGCAACTCCTGTGTAGCTAGGATCTACAGCTTGACCGCCATAAAAACCCAACCAATGAAGGTCAAGTTTGTCCCGAGGGAAAGTTAAACTGTCATTGGACCTGCAACGAAATTAATCAGAAGAACATAGGAGGAGTTCGAAATTAGGGTTCGACTTCCCTCCTTTGCAAAGCGGATGACAGTTGACAAACAAAGGTTTAAAACCTTTAAAAAGGGATGATCACTCGCCAATATTTTATTAATTATTACGTATTATAAACAACCTTTGTGTGACGTCACCCATAACCAATGTGAGTGCGAGAGAAATCGTGATTTGCACTGTTTTATTATTACACCGCCTGCTGCGAGTCTTTGCGCCGAGTGTAACGTACATACAACAATGCTATTAATTTATCTTGTTATGGCGAAATACTTAGTTAAGACGGTGGTAGCATAGCTAAGCTAAAATAACTAAGTTTAACTCTCGGTCTGCAACCCGATTAGACCACCAATCAAACCAAGCAGATATTTTTGGCCTCATCTTACCACCAAACTGAGTTTGGAGACCACAGTTGTGTATTTATTTTTACACCCTTATTTACAAACGAAGCTCGCTTAAGTAGCAAATCGAACGCACAGCGTTGAATAGAGCTCTGTGATTGGTTTATGTGTCACCCTGTGTTATTATCCTTATCAATATTTTTTTTCTTTTGTCCTAGGTCACAAGTTAAGCGACACTGGTTATGATAATTTTTACGAAAGGAAGATGGCTCCATGTGGAACATTATTTGACTATGGTAATAATGGAAGAATTTACCTGGATTCGGCTGACTGCAATGAGGAACTTCCATTTATTTGTGAAATAGGCGTTTAAAATATAATCAAATTAATTCAGAAATAGTTATTGGCTCTTAATACTTCATAAAAAATATAAAGATCGTATTTAACTATGTTGGTAATTTTTGTTTGTTTTGTAATTAAGGGTAATATAATATGAATCTTATTTTAAAATATCAAAAATGTGTATAATTTTATACCAATAAATTATTTTATTCATGAGTGTGTTTTCTTTTACATTAATTAATCCTTTTGCAGTAAAGTTAGTTTAGCTACAATGTAAGGCTGGGTTGCACTATCTTACTTTAACTTTCACAAACGTCAAAAATCAGTCAAACTCCATACAAAAACACCGGTTATTGTTAAATTTACGGTCAAAATTAGGTGGTGCAACTCAGCCTAAGCAGACCCAAACCTGAAAATGAGCATTTAGTAATAGGTATTTTGTGGTCTTATTAATTTAAATTATCTCAGAAAATACTATGCTTTATATTATTTTTTCCAATAATTGTTACACTGTCTTATTCACACATAAAATACACAAGCTTGGTAACTCGTACTATTCTGAAACACGCTTGAAACTCGATTCATGCTCAAGTCAAAATTCAAGCCTGTAACCTATATTCAAATTTTGAACATTACCTAGTTTCAACGGAAAGGCTATAGATGACCCACACTGAACTGTCCCACCAAACTCAATGACAGGGGGGCGCTACCATCGTTCAACTATATGGTTTCCAACATGGCAGAAATCGGAACCAGCGATCCGGTATTGACGGTGGCGCCCCACTGTCAATGTCATGGATAGGACAGTTCAGTATTTTGGAACTATAAGCTTATATTTGTTTTTAAAAATACGAATAAAACGGAATATTTTACGCAATTTTCCTATTTATAACATGGGCATATTAATGGTATGGTGAAGTCAGAAAATTTATATTATCTTCATTTTAATTATCATACAAATCGGATTTTATAAAAAAAAATGTATTTAAATTTACTGTCGGCTCACATACCCATTTACCTAGCACCCTGTATAATTATATACCTTCTAAGTGACTAAACTTTACTTGAATACATACACTCCTCCTACTAGGGCAGGCCTCCTACTAGGTGGACCGACGATCTGGTAAAGGTCGCGGGAAGAGCCTGGATGGGGGCAGCGCAGGACCGTTCATTGTGGAAAACCTTGGGGGAGTCCAGCAGTGGACGTCATTTGGCTGAAACGAACGAACGAACGAACTCGACTCAACATGAGTATAATATTAGTCATAAAAACCACATAAATGATTTCCTCGCAACTTTCATCCAAATAGGGTATACCAACCCATATTAATAAAAATAAATAAATCTCATCCAATATCCGTTCCGTGCCAAACATTTTATTTAGTACCGCCATTGGCGCCATAACGCACCGTTTTGGATATATTTCATGATATTCACTCAAATCCTAATGTAATTCGATGGTTTTCAATTTCCTTGACGATATAGGCTTTGCGTGCCGCGCGTTTATACGCCTGCGAAAATATCGCTATAAATAAATATTTTATTTTTATAAGTAAAAGGGTGAAAACATGACATGTTTATTTTGTACGCTGTATAATAGAGTTCTTTGAAATTAGACGTTTTGAGCTGAATAAAAACCGGTCAAGTGGGTTTATAGAGTAGGGTTTCCTTAGTTACACCTAATTATTCCAGATTCTAGATTTTGACGGGTTTGGATCGAACATAGTGTGAAATAAACCTTTCCAATAGTAGCCCTTCTGTAACTCTAGCGCGAAAAACTTTCGACTTTGAATCGTTTGCGTGTTCAAAACGCCATCAAAAGATTTAAGGCCCCTCGCTCACGGCAACTTTTTATAGCCATTGTGTCGCGCGTTCGCATCGATACAGTTAGCTCATATATATATATTATACTGTGATACAGTCACAATGCGGTCGCCAGCTGTGTGCCATCGCTTCTGTCGCGATGCAAACGCAATACTGTCGCACTTCTGTCGCGAGGCAAACGCGATTCAGTAACCCTCCCTCCGTTCTCTCTTCGATGTCGTCCGACACGGTCGCGCGTTTGCATCGATACTGTCGCGCTGCTGTAGCGCGTTAGTAGCGCGTTAGCATCGCTTTTGTAGTGCGTTGCAAATGCGACTAACGTGCGTTACTAGCTGTGCTGTCGCGCGTTTCGAAAAGTCGCCGTGGGCGATGGCCCTAATATGAAAACTTAAAACGCGCGCTTATGTGAACGTGACGTAAAGACAAAGTGAACTTAGCATGAGAAATGGTAGCATGAAACTAATTTTGACATCACATTATCGTTGAATTCGAATGCTGGGTATCGAATTTTGTCGAATACACAAACGATTCGAAGTCGAAAGTTTTTCGTGCTAGAGGTACTGTTCTCAAGTAGCCTCTTAATTGAATGAAGGGAACGTTTTGCCAAGATAACTTAATTATTCACAAAAAGTCCACTGAAAATTAACTCCTAATGGAGGAGGCTCACCTAATTTATTATAATTTCACGGGCCACCAAACTTAGGTTAAAAATAATTAAGTGGATTTGAAAATCTTTTTTTTACATATTTTTACGCGTGTTCTTTCAAGCAAGGAGGCTATCATGGAAATCATAAACGAAGTTTGTCATTCGACATTAAACACGACTTTTTTTTTCAAAAGTTTCATCAAAATCCGTTTAGTATGACGGACTTACAAACATCTGCTTAGCATTCTTACTAGCTCACGCGTTTAGATAAAAAATGAAAAAAATATTATAAAATGTTAAAAAAATATTACCAATCGAATTGAGAACCTCCTTCCTTTTGTTGAAGTCGGTTTAATGGTAAATAGCCACTTTTTCCATATAATTTGTAAGCGCCATCTAGAGATGTGAGCAAGAATTTCTTGACATCATTCTCATCAAAAGTGCTCTCTAGCGACGAAAATGTAAAACACTTGCGGCTTACATTTTCTGTACTAGCATCCGTTTCACATTTTTGGCCAGTAAAGAAAATTTGAATAACATTAACTAGATGTCGCTACTGGTAGTCCGTAGAATGTTTTGAAAAATATCATTACATTCTCTACATTTTAATTTTATTTAATTTAAAAAAAAAAGCATTTAAATGGAATGGCTCATATCTAAATTAATAATTACATTGCTCATTCCGTTGACTATCTAATTTTGTTAACGTCGTTCTCGTTATTACTACTGGATGGATTTGGATGCAACTTTACATAATACTTTTACATAGTATTATTAATCTAAGAGTATTAGCACAGAATAATAATGTATTAGTGTATTTATTTACTAATTGACTAACACTGTTACCCCCTTACTAATAAAATTTACACGCTTGTTGAATAGTGATTTAAAGTGACGTTTAGTATGGAAATGTCATTTTAAAACAGTGTTCAGCAAGTGTCTTTATTTTTATTAGTAAGGGGGTTATAGTAATTCTAGCCTTAGCTACTTTTTATCGAAAACTACAAAAGCTAGTAATAATATCTCAATAATAATTATAATATTTCTTTCTTTATTATTAGTCTTTACGGCGCTTATTCTCAGAATGAGACAAATTCTTTATAGTTTCATAATCGTTTATTTATTTATTACTTACTTAATTAAGGAAAATAAATTAACATCACGTGTGTTCTTAAACTATTTATTATATTAATGACTGTGAAAGAGTATTTTATAATAGGCATTAAAATTAAATTTTAGTCTATCAGATTATAATACTACAAAATAAATTATTGATAAAGATAGTAGAAGATGAACACAGTTTAAATTTCTATGTGCATTGTTAATATTTTTTGGTGAGTCTTTAACTTCTTCTTGGATACTCCTGTGGGCCTTCAATCTATCAGGCTTTGCTTCATCAGATGCCATATCATGGTCATCAAATCTTTCTTTATCTACGGGCTTAGCTGAAACAGTGGCTAGTCGACTGGTTGTGTACGAATGTTCCTTTTTCTCCCTTTCAGTTGTCCCTATTGAAATTGGATCATGAGCGGATGTTTGACTGACGAAATCGAGTGTTTTCTCATTTGTAACTGATGTAGATTCTGTTGTTGTACTCTCGGCTGTCGACAGGTCCAACGTTCCTTTATTGTCCACTGTGCTTTTGTGACTGGCTTTAGGAGAAGTCAACTTAACAGTCACAGGACTAGATGTTGCTTTGGTCGCTTTAGTAGAGGATTGCGTAGTGGTTTTGCTCTTTTGTACTGACTTGTTAGTTGTAGTGATGTTAGCTGGCTCTAAAGGTACTTCTTCGCCAGAACAGTTGAGCAAATGTCTCATGTCAAAGTAAAATATGGTTCCATTGAGTTCGGTTTCATCGTAGTACTCGTATGCTCCGCTGTCTTGAGGCTCCTCGTCTTCGAAAACTGATCCACTGGTCTTCTCAATCTCCTGGAACTTGTCCCATTTCTGCTTGATTTCTTCAGATGGGTGGCATTGGAAATTTTGTATTTCCAACTTCAAGCGTTCGTTTTGAGTGTTGTTGATGAGTGGACGGAACACGTCCAGGTGGCAATCGCATGGCAACTGGTTACCTGAAAATAGAGACATAAAAATTAATGCGGTTGCATTTACCTATATTGAAAAAATATAGAAAAAGTATATTCTGCACTAGGCACTTATGCTATCAATAGATTTAATAATGACATCGTGATAAGAAAACTATGTAGAAACGATCTACGTACTGACGTTAACTCTAAAATAAGTTCGTTCTGGTGAAATTAAGTAGGTAGGTACAACTTTTTCATTATTCCAATTTAAAAAAAAATTGCTTGGTAATTTTACTCTATTGATTAAGACACCTGGGCTATAGATAAAAAATAATCAAAAGTAGATATTACCTTCCAAAATAAACTGCGTACCCTTATTGTAGAAGTTAGGCAAAATTCCACTTATAGCCTCTGGCTTTATAACTCGGATCGGGTTGTCTTTTAGGCTCATTGATGTCAGACTTATGAGTGGTTCAAAAACCTTCTCATTTTCGATAGCTGAAATCTTGTTACCGGGAAGAGATAGGAATTGTAACTTCATAAGTCCATTGAATGCTTTCTCATCGAGCATTTGAATTTTATTTTCTCCCAAATTCAAAAACCGTAGATTGGCCAACGGCAAAAATGTATTGTCTCCGATTACTTCAATACTGTTCGAACTCAATTCTAGTTTCTCCAGTTTTTTGAGCCCCGAAAATGTCTCGCTGTTCAAGCTAAAAATGCTATTCTTATCAAGTTCCAACTCTCTCAAATTTTCCAAATGAATGAAAGCTTTATCGTGGATAGTGGTTATTTTGTTTCCCGTTAAATATAATTTTTCCAGTGCAGGTAGATCCACGAATACATCTCTGTTGATCTCAGCAATGTTATTTTGATCTAAACTGATTGATTTTAAGCTTGGATGATGCGAAAAGGCATTTCTTTCTACAACTTTAATTTGGTTATCTCTGAGAGTGATTTCTTTGACTAAACTTAGATTAGCAAAAGCGAATGCTTCTATTTTGTCTATATTACAGTATTTTACGTCTAGCCTGATTAGAGCTTTGGTGTATTTGAGGGCGTTTGTTGGTATGTAGCTTATGGCAACTCCTCTAGTGTTTGTGAGAGTGAGCTTACTAGTGTTATGTAAAATTTTAAAACCATCCCAACTGGAATCATCTCGGCTGACATATTTTGCGGTCTGGTAACAATCAGCGTTCGCTATTTGGAGTGGTTGCCGGTTCAGTCTTCCGCAGAAGCACTGAATTTTGTTTGTGTTGTTTGAAACTGGGTCACAGATCGTAGAATTTGCTTCTCTCTTCTGTTTGTGCCATTTTGACTCGACGAAGACTGCCGCCATACACATCACCGTGAGAATCTTCCAAAATGCCATTTTATCTGGACCTGGAATTGAAAAGAAATATTTTTATTAATATTGTAATCAAAATGCTTAAAGTTTGCATTAAATTTAGTTTTTATTCAGGCAACGTTTTAAGAGAATGATAACATCCCATTTGATTACACCAAATGGTAATTTACTGTATAGATGTGCTAATTACATAACTGGTAGGTAAATAAAAGGCAGGTGAATTGATGCTAATCAGTGAATATTTCTTGGTGCCGCAGATGTTTTGTTTTATCTATAAATGACTCTTTTGTTTGGGTACTGTACTATGTATAATAATGTATATATAGTCCCCAACTCACACACGTAATCGTCCTTGTGGCCATTACGTTGAAAGTGACTGTACCTGTATCCTTTGGGTTAAATTTCCCTGTGAGTGTACTGTGAGCTATACTAAACCGTTTATAATTGCGCTAACAGGTGTCAGTAATGAGCAAACCCTGTCCTGAGTAATCAAGTCTCAGGAGAAACGCGTGAAGTTGTTAACTTATTAATGTTTGCGCTATGTAAAATAATATTATAATAATTCATTTTTTGAGATTATTAAATCTTCCATAATAATAAATCTCCAATAAGGAACCTTTTACCTATTTTCTATCCATAACTATCAGTAGGTACACTCACTTTTTTCTTGGAATCACCTCTTTTATTCTACCGTGCTAGCAATATCAGCAGTAACTCCTTTTTTGGCAAAACTATAATGAGCTCTATTTCAGATGAGCTAAGAGGAGTTTTTCTAACAGCAATATATTGGATTTTACTGCTGATATCGCTAGCACGGCAATGTTATTTTCAGATTTAATTTTTGATTGTAGTTATAGTCGTTTATTAACGCAATCATTATAAAAGGGTCTCACTTTTGTAAACTCAAATAGTCGCTAAATACATAATATACAATTTGAGTCAATAAAGTATTAAAGAAGTATTTCAAATAATCGTTCACTTGGTGGAAAGTCATGAACTATAAATAATTTACATCCAGAAGACCTGCTCAGAGCGATTTGAAGTTACGTTCTAACATTTAAATTAAAACATTTGTGTTATTGTACACAATAACACTCGTATTCACAAACACTATGAGGTCTCACAATGCTCGTGGACGCGCAGGGTCCCAAAAACCAATAACCAATACTTGAGTATCGGAGTAACACACACGAACCAATCACAAAACTCTATTCAACGCTGTGCGTTCGACTTTGCACAACGTTCTGCTTCACTTAAGCAGGCATTGTTTGTGATTACGGGCGTAAAGAAAGATAGAACCGATCATCTGAAAACGGTGCTTCTGATCTTTTTTCTGCATTGCCCTATTCGACCGTCCCTCCCTAGATAAGGGATTGGGAAGAGCCCCCTAATCCAAAATTAATAGCTCGGTGGAATCCAGCGAAGTTTGCCGGGAATGTTTGCAGACGGGCCGGTATTTAAAAAAAGTTTATTTTCGGGATTTGATCGCGTCTTAAGATTTTATTACATTCCATTGTCATTTGGAAAATAGGCACGTGTTAGCGGTTTCTGTTAACTGTGGTATTCGTCGTATTTAGCCGATTTAACCGACGGGATTAGCAAGCTGAAGTGGCAGTGGGCAGGGCACATAGTACGCAGAACTGACGGCCGATGGGGCAGCAAGGTTCTGGAATGGAGGCCGCGTACCGGAAAACGCAGCGTGTGACGTCCGCCCACAAGGTGGACCGACGACCTGATAAAGGTAGCAGGAAGGCGCTGGATGCAGGCCGCTACCAACCGTGCGATGTGGAAGTCATTGGGGGAGGCCTATGTTCAGCAGTGGACGTCCTGTGGCTGAAATGATGATGATGATGATGATGAACCGTGTTGAGGTTTTTAAAGGTAGGAGGCTAGGACCTCATGAACGTCGTTTGGTTACGTGTAATTCGTGCCAATAGAAACTTAATGTATTATAAAAAACTAAAAAAAAAATAATGAATTTTAGTTTTTAGTAATAATTTTTCATTTTTGTGTCTTTTTTAATGACACATTATTAATTTATTATTGACTTACAAATGCATTTTTTTATTTATCTACTAGGTAGGTACCTGTCTAGCGCGCGTTCTTCTCTTTCTGTTTGGCGAAGACTTCAGTGTGCCTACCATGAGTTTACGTTAGGTGTGCTCGCTAGCGACTGCGTAAAAAAATGACATTTATATGTATGACATATTGTGCAGCGCCCCTAGCGGCTACTTTCAAGAAATAAAATCTTCATAAAACTTTTTGACGTATTCGCTAGCGAGCTTACCTAACGTAAACTCATGGTAGGCACACAGCCCCCCTAGACAAAACGCACTTTTTGATCGAATCGAAAATCGAATCCGTCAAAACTCCATACAAAAAAGGGGCTTTTCGACCACTTTGCGACTGGTTTGCGATTATAATTTGCACTTTGTCTAGACCCGCAGGGCTCGCGCGCATACTTAGGTGACTTTTGTCACCGTGACACTTGTCACGATATTTCTGTTTCACACTTTTATAAAGAGAAAAAGAGAGACAATTCTTGCAACTCACGAAGGTGAGTGAACTTTACTTGTGGGTGTGTGTGTGTGTGTACATGCACATAACGATGGTGTGAATTTAAATGTTTATCAAAACTTTTGAAAACGAACAGTAGCGAGCCACCACACAATATGTAAAGCTCACTCGCCTTCGTACTCTGTATCACATTTAAAGCAAATAAATGATGATTCTGATTCTGATTCGTGAATTGCAACAACTATACATTCTTTTTTTATCCACAACGAGGATGCTCTTGGCCTGAATCTCATCTAATGGTAAGTGATGTTTCGGAGAAACATACTGTCACGGTGACAATAGTCAACCGTGCGCGCGAGCCCTTAGTTTTTGCCGGTAGCTATTCTATGCCGGTAGCGTCGCGCGAGTCATTCTCTCACTCGGCTCTGGAGCCGGCTTATTTGGCCAACTTGCAGACTATCCACTTCAAAAGTTTCGTAATTTAGTACGGACTACTTTTTAGAAGAGAAATGAACGTAACGATTACTTTGTTATCTACCAAATGCTCTATAAGAGCGCTTTTACATTAGGGTGTTAGTAGCGCGACTGCAGCGCGGCAGCGGCCTTTTTATAATGTGAATGCATCCGCTGTAACATAAGTAGTATGAAATTTTCAGCAGCGCGTCTGTCGCTTGTTTGTCGCGCTGCTAAATCGCCTAATGTGAAAGCGCTCTAAGTCCAATTCTTATCATTGTACCTACTAATAAACTAAATTTCTCTCATACGTAACTAACTAGTACTATTTTTTTCCTAAAATTCCAATTAAAAGAAGTAACGGTGTAGGTACTTGCTTCATTTTTAGGGTTCCGTAGCCAAAATGGCAAAAACGGAACCCTTATAGTTTCGTCATGTCCGTCTGTCCGTCTGTCCGTCTGTCTTGAACCTGTACCTAAAAATGAGACGCACCTTCAAGTAATTTATGACGGTGACGTGGGATTAGTGGGGCACTGGAGTTGTATTTATTACATTAATGGAATACTGCGTGTGTACGATAGTCTTGTTGGTGTTCTAGGAAAATCGCAAAAAATATATGTAAAAGCCTTGTTTCCGTATCTATCGGAGTCATGTATTCAGTTTCCAAGTGTTCAGCGACAACCGAATACAATTGATTGTGGTTTGTTTGCCATTGCTTTTGCCACCTCTTTAGCTCGGAATATTTATAAATACATATATAAAATTAATATTCATACATAAAAGTACAAGGCAAAATATCGGGAGAGTTTAGGCTCCATTCACCAGGTGTATAAATTGACATAATAAGTTTATTATATTTGCTGCTACGGAACCCTTTGTGCGCGAGCCCGACTCGCACTTGGCCGGTTTTTTTTACTAGCCCTACTACAACTTTGCCCCGGCGAACTTCTGTCTAATAAATGTTAAATGTTTGAATTTACAAATGACTCATATTTGCTACATGAATAATTCAATGATTCTATACAACATTTATAGGCTATCAAACAAAATATCACTGAGATTCCAACACAAAGACTTGTTAATAATATTATCTATAGAGGCAATAAATATTCGGGGCCAGTTTGTAATAAAGACATGTAGATATCCATGTTTGAGTATTAGTGATGTTACAGAGTATCGATACGACATTATCGATGTTTTAAATTATTATGATCCAATGGTTTATTTTAAAATATACAACTAAAAAAAATGGAACTGCCTAAGGCGGGACTCAAACCCACGAAGCGACTCTATTCGCTAAGAAATGTTTGGCATTCAAGCTAAACTCTATTAAGTTTTTGTGGCGTTGTACGATGTTAGATGAAATCTTTTTTTTTATGTGACAGGAGTCAAACGAGCAGACGGATCACCTGATGGTAAGTGATCACCCGCAGACCCAGGGGCGTTACAGGTGCGTTGCCGGCCGTTAAGGTGAAGATACGCTCTCCTCTTGAAAGCTTGCAGGTCGTATCCATACTTATCTAGGATACAATGACTACAGAAAAAAAAATCATTGCACTAGCTTGATGTCAGCAGAGGGGATCTGACACAAAAAGAATCGTGACTATTACATACGAGTACATTGCCAAGATAAATTTTAATGAGCAAAATGTTATATCTCATCATCAAGAACTGACTCTACACTCATTTTATTTGTAATCAAACTTTAGACTATTAGGATGGCAAAAACTTCAGTTATTTCAGAAATAATGTAGCATTTTAATGGTGAAAGAATTTTTCAAAACGGTCTAGTAGTTTAAACCCTATGCAATACAAACATACAAAAATACAAATCTTTCATCTTTATAATATTAGTGTACAAATGTAGATTAGGTCATTAGATAGAATTTAATTAGGTAAACTATTCAATTCTGGCCCTAAATTATTATTATTATGTCGAAGCAGAAGGACATTGACATCACTAATTTTAACGTGTTTCAACCGTGGGATTCAATAACTACACTACAGATAAAATATCTCAAGCGGTACTGCGCTTTATGTGTGTGGTTCATTCATACAGTCAGGAG